GTTTGTGTTAAATTATTATTTTATAGATGAATGTTTGTGTTAAATTATTATTTTATAATTAATGTTTCTGTTCAGTCCCTGAGACGATTCTGTTGTGACTTGGAGTTTCAGAAATAAACTGAACTGATTTGAATCTTTGAACAATTAGTGTTTAATTACTTTAAACACTTAATTACGTTAATTACTGTCTATTAATTACTAAATAGATTAGTGTTTCTGTCATCCTTTGACTGTGCAAAAGTCTTCAATCACGATCGCTGCAATAAAAGCTTTTCCTCTGCGTTGCTGTTAGCAAAATATATCCTGAACCAACGGACACACGTTTATGAAACTCGGTGCAACCATTGGAAGTTTGTAACAGCTGGAGTCAATTCAACATGGCCGCCACATCTAATTCAGTACAAAAATTACTTTATTCCATTTTATTCACATTTAATAAAGTTTTATTTGTTGAGGATTATAATTACTTTTAAATGCAATAAGAGAAGTTTAGATATCCAGATGTGTAACATTTTTGAAAGGCAGATGTTTTTATTTCATTTTATTATTTTTTCACCCTGAAGACTCTGGAACTGTAGACGTAGTTCCAGATGTTTCCAGCCTCTGAAACAAAGCGCACGTTGGACATGAGATGAATGCTTATCGCCCGCTGCCTCGTTCGGTTCAAAGAATGCTCTGAGAGCGACTCTCAGCTACCACCACACCAAGTGTCGCTCACGCAGCTGTTGTTGGTTTTCTAAGGTTGGGTGGTTGTGGCGGCCATCTTGAATCAGGTTGACTGTGGAAGTTCATCGTTTCGACGATCATCTGATCGTCCAGCGGTTCATCAGATGTTTTGTGGACAAAGTAAACGTGATCACCTCCATGAACATCAGACCTGCAGCCCCAGATCTCCTCTGCAGAACGACACAAATGTTGCTACAACAGTAAATTAACGAGCTCTTCGTGACCATTTAACAAATTAAACTTTATTAAACGACTCTTTACTCGTTGATGATTGTTGCTGTTTCTTTGGCAGCTCTTAGAGTCAAAATCTGCCAATATCTCAGGACCCCGAACGTTTCTGACCCACAGTGGGCGCCCAACCCCAACTTTAGGAACCACTGGTTTAAAACATTTGCACGGTTCTGTTCCAACCACAGTCTGAACCGATCCAGAACCAGGACAAACTGGATCCTTGCTGACAACAAGACAAACTTGTTCTGCTGAGATCTGAACCTCCTCTGACCCTGACCCTTGATTTGTCCTGTGAGGAGTTTAACCAGCAACCTCCTCCTGCTGACCGGTCCCGGACCTGTCCCAGACCTCCAGGCTG